ATATGAGGGGCAAAATTACTGAGTTGTGATTGGTCAAGACAGAGTGCATTTTCTCTTACGTGAGCTGATTACTCAGCACCAACTATACAATACTTTATGATGAGCACGTTAACCACAAAAAAAAATTTGCTTTTTTTTTGGTTTCCTAGCAATCTCTGGAGAGCAAGGAAAGAAGGCCCTGCTGAGAGAGATCGAGTTATTAAAACTCTTTGGAAGGATGGGTCATGAGAATGTTGTTAAGTTTATTGGCTGTGTTATAGTCGGAGGTAATTAGCTATTGTTATGATTGTAATCAGCTGAGTCACAGTCAGGATAAAAACATGACCGAAATGAACTGCTGGTAGAATAAAATCTTTTACTCCGATGGTGAGCTAATTTAAGGAATATCTCCATTTTTGTGTGGTTTAGAGACGTTCAGTTCAATTTTATTCAGTTTTCTTGCTACCTTTCTAACATTTTCATAGTAATGGTAAAAAAATGCTTCGATTTAGGATGACAAGTCTCTGCTTATGTATCTTCGTTCTCTTTTTTGTATGTCTTTCCGCTCGTCTCTCTGTCCTTAGGTCTCTATGTGCCGTATGTGTCTGTTTGTCTTCGTACTTCTGTCGTTTGTTTCCTTCTTTCTATTTTCTTTGTCTCTACTTTGGTTCATAACAGATACAGCCTACTATATGATTAAAATAAGCATGTACAGTTTAGAACAATTTAGAATTTGGAACGTACTCTCCGTTTCCTTTATAATAATTTGACAACACTTTTTTTTAACTTATTTAGCTCAGCCAATACTTATTATGGAGTACATCTGGCGAGGTGACTTGCTGGGTTACCTCAGAAAATCCAGGGGGGTTTCGACCACTATCATCGTGGGGTCGGAAGGGTCGACCACTTGACAACATATGACATGGTGCTGTTCGCTAAACAGATCGCAACTGGTATGACTTTTCTCGCGTCTAGAGGGGTAGGTGCTCAAACTCCTCTTCGTTTGCATTTCGCAAATCGATCTTTATACGACTAAAATGATCAAGCACATTGGAATCACTGAGTCATTGTGAATTATTTTTTCTTTCTTTATTTCGTTACTAGCCCATCATATCCTTCTTTCAATTTCAGATGATTCATCGCGATCTTGCAGCTCGCAACATCCTTCTCGATGAGCATCGTGTATCAAGTTGACTGATTTTGAGCTCTCTTATCAGGATTTCAAATACGGTGCAGGAAATGCCAAGAGGGTAATTCTCAGTACTCTTTAATCACTTGTTCAGCGAGTTGTTATTTGACTGCCATCAAATTCATCTCATTATACCTAAAGTTTAAACAAGAAATTTGTTCTGGAGCTGTTGCAATTGGTATGCTAGATTCAAATGTAAAAATAACTAGAACGAAAAATAGGCGTATGCCAGTTAATGACGTCAAGTAGGCCTCTATTTTGAGACTCAAGCCAAAACTTGAACTGACGAACCTTACTTCCTTTTATACAGTTTTGCCGCCAAACATGTTTCCCTTATTGGAATGCCATTCTAAGCGTTTCGAAACTTTCGTACAAACAAAAAAAAGTTGTACACTTTACCAAAGGAGTGAACGCAGAGAATAACAAAATCGGACTTGATAAATGTTTTTTTTTTAAGTGCAAGAATACCAACTCGAACATGTCAAAGGGTACTGTAACACAGGAGATGTAAAGAAAAAGGGGGCACGTGATTTGTATCTAAAGAAATTTGTAGAAACGCGTGTGTTACTCTTGAATTTATCGCGACTCCTCGCATCTTTGGTGAAAAGGGATATAAATCTTTATCAAAAATATCTCAGAAATTGTATTCCAGAGTCTTTAAATTACATCTGCTTATAGTATTTTAAATACTCACCCAGGGATGTATCCCAGTCAAATGGAGTGCACCCGAGATTCTTACTGGCCATGTGGAACGGCTGTCAACCAAAAGTGATGTGTACGTACTGCACTCGTCATTATATACATTATAAGTGTCAACCTGTTTACGATGCTTACTTCACGAATTGAAGGGTTTAGAATAATCAGTGCTTTATTAATCAGGATACGTCGAGCCGGGAAATCTGAGGGTGGAACTGCAGTATAAGATTTGGATGAGTATTAAGTTTAACGGGCAATACTTAAAACCTGATTAGGAAAAAAAAGATGAAAAGATAAATGAATGATAAAATAAATAACTATGGATTTTTTATGTTTAAGGCACTCTTTATATCTAGATAAACATATTCGGTCTAAAACATTTGAAGTATCTGAATCAAATACTATTTTTGTACCCTAGTTTGCATGAGTCGTCATCCCTCTATTTCTTCCACAGGTGGTCTTATGGCATAGTCCTGTTTGAAATCTTCACAATCGGTACTCAGCTTACTTATTTGTTAGTTTACTTTCAGAAAATGTACTCGCCGAAATTGATTACACGATTGCCAGTTAAAAGGTTATACCATGAGCTGCTACAAAAGCATTGCATGATAGAGAAGTAATGGCAATACTCAATATCGCTAATGAATAAACTATTTTATCACTGTTTGAAAACGTTTCTCCTTCTATCTTTTATTTGATGTAAACAGGAATATTGTTCGGTAACTATCGTTTTAACATTGAAATCATTCCGATCGTGCCTATCAAGATGTAAGTTATTAGAACAAAACAGTTATGCTCCTTTATTTGTCCACAGGAGGTATTCCGTACGAAGGATGGTCTGAAACCTCGACAATAAGAAAAATCTATCAAGGTTACCGTTTGCCAAAGCCTGAACACATCGACGACAGTTTGTAAGTTCGGCTTTTTCTGTATAATACTGAACATGGATTGCACACACAAAAAAATGCAATGTTACATAAATAAAGCGCGATATGATAGGTATCGTGGTCGGGTTTGTTGTAGCTTACATTAATTTTATCATGAAAAAAGCGATAATGGTGGTGATGATGATGTAAATACCTCGTGAACCTTTCAATCTGTTCAGACTGAATAAATAGCTTTCCTAACAAAATTTTCGCTATCAATAAAACAAAGCTAAACTAAACTAAACGAAACTCAACAAAAGCAAAAAAAAGCGAAACAAAACAAAACCAAAACAACACAAAACAAAACAGAACAAAGCAAAACAAAACAAAACAAAACAGACACAAAGCAAAAAACCAACATAAAAAACAAACAAAAAAGACATTTTACAAATGAGAATCACATCACCAATTTCAGGGAGTTTAAAGTTGGTGAATCAAATTCAGAATGAGATTGGTTCTTTATTCCAAGCTCTATCTGAACACCAATGTAACAAGCTAAACCAAGCGATTTTCTTTTTTGTAAACTTAGCATTTCAGGTGTAATTGTAGCTAGTTGGGGTTACACAACCCTGATAGTAGGAAAATTTCATTGTTTTTCTATAGATACGCAGTGATGTTAAGCTGCTGGCAAAATCAAATCGCTGCCCGCCCACATTTTTTGAACCTCTACAAAACAATGGATACCTATCTTAAAAGAAAGGTTTGCCATACAGTATGTTATTCAGAAAATACGTCGTCGGTTCGGGGTTTTTTGGGTTGTGTATTTTGGTCTTTGTTTCTCTTCGTTGTCCTGTGTTTACATGCTTGACTAGTATTTTGTCCTTTCCAAAAGCGTCTGTTTGTTTTCAGGAAGTAGAGGTCTGTTTATTAGGATCACAGGTCATTTCATTAACATCAATTATATTATAATAAAGTTCGGATATAATGCGCGCTGTTAATGGCTGAAAGAGCGTGTTCTGTTAGCTTACAAAACACGGAGCTGAGCTAAAGCTGTCCGCCATCGGTCAGTTTATACTTCGAGCATTTCCCAGACTTCTCTCTACTTTATTTTTCGTTAATTGAAAGCGAAATTTTGGAGCAAGTGACCCGGCAAGTAGTTACAGAAGAACCAAACAAAGGTTTGTAAACAAGCCAAGCGCCGTAATTAACGTTATCATTATTTGAGCAGAGACAAAAATCCTCAAAGAGAAAACGAAAAGGACTGCTTGAATGTTTTCATGCTGAGTCAGATTGCGAGCTTTTATACGGTAATAAAACTGAGACACAGGCAACACTCGTATAGTATGTATATTTTCGTATTCAAAAACATAACAGTACAAAAAAAGGAATAATAACACTTGAAAATATAAGCAAACTAGCATAACTGTTAAAATTCATACAGATCAGGATGGCGTGAAGCGACTGCTGATCTCTGGTCATCGCAGTGAGGCATGCCTCACAAATCTCAGAGAGAGCAGCTAAGGGCTTACTCTTATTTCCTTTCCGATACGTTAAGCGGAAGCCCACATCAGTCACAAGCGCCCTATTATACTGGGCTCTCATCCCAAGCGATCTTCCAAAAAACTTGCATGTTTTTATGAGACACGATTCGGGCTGATTTCACCGTACATTTCACTTTCAGATTCTTTATCAAAATTAGAAAACCTCAGGCAAAAAATGTTTTTAGACTCGAGTTGTCGAACTATTTCAGTTTGTGAACTTTTACAGATTGTGAGCTTTGATTGTTTGACATTTTTGTCGACTGAAGTCTTATTCAACCAATCGGATTAATTGAATCATTCTAGCACGGATTCCGATTGGCTCATTGCAGCATGTTTCGTGGGAGTATAGAACATATCAACGACACCTTTGTTTTGAAAATAGTAAGTAATGTATTGGGAATTTGACGGAGTCTTCATTATTAAAAAAATGTTTAAGAAGTAGCGAGAAACAACTACGTCTCTCATTTCCTCCTAGATTTCTCTGGCCGCTTCCTTATTTGTTAATTAGTGGCGAGTATGAAATACCTATTGAAGTGATAGTTTGGAAAATTTGGACGAAAGAGATCGACCTTACCTGCTTTTGTACGCAATTTGGTTCCTGTCTTCGCAATCTTCATTATATATTAAATGATTAATTTTGGATTGTTCCTGGTTCCATTGTTCACATTCATTAACTCAATGATTATTCAACATACTTAATTCCTGATTACCTTCTAATCTTTATCACAGACATATGTGGATATCGTGGACATGGACAAGTATGATCACGATAACTACAGGTTTATCGATGATCGTGGAGCTCTTGCAATCCGAGAAGATGCAGGACCGGATGAACAAGGAGCAGCTACAGCAAATCCCAATCGTGAGTTGGGTGAACACGGTGCTACTGCACATCCTTTTGTGGTTGCAATAGACAATGGCGCTACAACTCTCCCTCTCACAATTAGCGTAGGAGACAAAGGAACAGCTGCAGCAAATCCAGACCAGGATTTGGGTGAACACGGTGCTACTGCGCATTCTTTTGGGGTTGCAGTAGACGGCGGTGCAACAGGTTATCCCTTTAGAGTTAACGTAGCAGCCGAAACAGCAGCTGCGGCAAATACCGACCGTAAAGTGGGTGAACACGGCGTTACTGCGCATCCGTTTGTGGCTGCGATAGAAGATGGTGCTAGAGCTTTCCCTCTCGGAATCAAAGTAGGAGAAGACAGTGCGGCAGCGCACTCTTTGAAGAGTGATGAGTAAGATATTGATGCCTCAGCGTAGGTTCACGAGAGTGATACTTTAGCATACCTCAGCGAGAACGAGGAGGAAGAATTTGGTGACTCTGAGTGCCCTCTTGGGCTTGAGGAAGAAGATATTGACGTTCCTGAGTGCCCTCTTGAGATTGAGGAAAAAGATATCGATTTTTTGCCATCTTCTTTGGTGATGGACGATAACGGTCTTGGTACTCTGGTATGCCCCCTTGTGACTGACGAGGAAAATCCTGATTGTTCAGCATGCTCTCTTGTGATTGAGGAAAAAGATTCCAGCAATTATTCAGCGTGCTCCCCTTTGATTGGGGAAGAAGGTTTGGAAGCCACAGTATGCCCTTCTGGAGTGACTGAAAAAGATCCTAATTTTGTAGCACACCGCCTTGCGATTGAGGTGAACAAACCTGATGCCTCACAATTTACTCCCGTAATCGGGGAAGAAGATGTCGATTCTTTCGAATACCCTCCCATGATTGAAGAAGAAAGCCATTTTGATTCCGCTTCTCCTCCAGATGTTGGAGAGGGTGGAACAAGCAGTCCTGAAACTAATGCTGATAATCAAGATGCTGCAGCAGTACAGTCTGTAAAGGAGGCAAGAGGTGATGAAGAACCTAAGACTTGCCAACTTGAGAACACAGAGGATGAACAAGACAATATTGGAAAAGATATGGAGGATCAAGGTGATGCTGTAGACCTTTGTGATGAAGAGGTTGGTGTGCAAGAGAGTAATGGTTATCAACTAACGGCCGTGGATAAAGACGAAACCGGAAATGACGAGGACGAGGAGTCATCCGAAGCAACTCCTTTTGTGCAGGACTGAGGCATGATACCAAAATTGCTGAACCTCCAATGTGGTAGTCGTTTATTGCTCAAGTTTCCAAGTTTCCAAGTTTATTTCGCACTATTCAAATTAATACAGTATAATTAAAACAGTATAATACAGTAAATTAATACAGTATAGGACGACTTATATAACTAGGTGAAGAAGATAATGAGAAGTAGATATCATGCAGGTTTTTATATGTGTGCACAGTGACCAAAGTAGCCGTAGCTTTCGTGTTGGTCACTGTCCCACTTAAGTAAATAGAGAGGTCCAAGATACAAGTGTGAGGTAATAATAAATTAGGGTTTAAGAGAATAGTTCTTAATATATATATATATATAGAATGAATAGTAGACTTGTTGATACAGCGCGATAATATACAACATTTAAAATTTATAGTAAAAAAGAGAAAAAGGAGAAAAAAAAGAGAAGAAAAGAAAGGAAGAAAAAGGAGAAAAGAAGGAGAGTAAAAATAATCTAATTATATATACTACTGCTGCATTGTTAAATGAAGACGGGAAGCTAAAGAGAAGAGGGTATGAGCTGTTTTAGTTATCATTGGTTTTGCTCAGTGGTAATTTGTGGTCTAGATTTCGAGAACCTTAGGCTTACCTTTTTGTAGCTCCTTATTTTTTAAGATGTAATGTTCATCTTACAATTATAATGCTTTGTTAGTAATGATGATCATTTTTATAGTTTGTAGATGGAGGTTAAGTGAAAGTTTCCTTGAAAGAAAATCTGCGTATTTAATTCACTTTCACACTTCTTAGTTTAGCGTTTATTCACTTGTTGCACCCGTGAGTGCTTTTTCTGTTATCGACTGTAGACTGATAGAGACAAAAAGATACAAAAAGAGGCATCGCTGTTTAGATGATTTTTATAACTGATTAAGTCAGACATGCTTAATGAATTTGTGAGTGTTTTCTAAGTATAAGTAATATTTCCTAATTTTTTTAAGTGTAATATAGAGAAGAAAAATGCTATTGGTTTGTTCGTCTCGAAGCAAAATTACTGTTAAAAACTCATAGTGACCGTTATGGAAGGCAAATAGATAGATGCTGATATCTCTCAAGCCACCATCAATATTGACCCTACTAAAATTAATTAACTTATTGTAAAACACGCTATAAATGCTTCAATAAACTTACATAAGCCAAACCCGTTTTGTTTACTCCATCCATTGCTCCAAAATTGCTAGTTCGGATTAGACAACTTTCACGGAGACAAAGTAAAACGCGCAGAAAAGTCTTAAAGAAAACAAGAGACAAAAGGAGAATAACATTAATGTGAGCAAATCTAATTGCAGACTTGAAGGAAACCATAAAATAAGATGACATTTAGTATCGAAGGATAAGAATTAAGATAATCCAGTTGATGAGTGTATTTCTCTTTCCCAGCTTATGCTCGCTTTGCAACCAGAAGTAGCATATTTCCAACGCAATATTAACCCACTAATTTTTATATCATTTTCATATACACAGCAACTGACTGACTGCTCTTTAGCAATCGAGCTGTCTACTCCAGTGCCTTGATTAGATGGGTGGTATATTAAGCTGATTAGTCTTTAATGTTCTTAGTTGACTTTACCACTTTTTATCATTGTCTGACCCCATTCTGATGATTCATTCCGCAGAAGTTGGACTAAGGGAGACATTCCAAGTACCAAGGCAGCTTTTTTTCTGTTATTATCTCCACCGTCTCAGACCTTTCGGCGTCTTGAGAGCAAGCGTTTGAATTTTCTTAATACTAGCCTTGCCTTTCGGGTAAATTTAATTGAACCGTGGATCATGTGTTCGAGAAGTGCATCCTTGCCAACATGCCCGTAGGTTCTCATTGAAATATTTTTCAACTTTTCAATTTTTAATTTTTTTTGCCCACGATCACCTACATATTATTAAGTTGATATTGCCCCACGTTCTACTTCTACTTTCATCGTAAACAATACCATGCTTTGATTCTTTAACTCCTTTTTGAAGACAGCTCAAGGCGGTTATTTTCTTATCACCCTTCGTTGTGTCTCGTGACATGTCTTTGACAAAATATTCGACGGCATTTAAGTGAGAAATTGATGAGGATAACAAAGTCGGGCGTGTCTTTCATGAGGGGAAAAGAGAGGACTTGTAAAAGGAGAGGCGCTACGCCTCCTAAGAATGAATTCATCATGCTCCGCGTTCAATAAATGCTCACGGTGTTTGAAAATACGAATAAATCACAGAGGATATCAAGATGAAATTTAGGAGAAATGTATCTCTGAGTTTGATCTCACTGGGAGTGAGAGGTCACTCAAGAACTTACATGGGATTAGGCGAGAGATCGATTGTAAACGTTTCCCCGTCCGACGGTCACCCAGGAGTCGAGCACACTCTATTTGGTTACGAGCAGAGCGCGACAACTCATTAAACAAAACTTGGGCGTTGGTTGTGCATGACTCGAATTCTTTCATGCAGTAAGGTGTAAGGGGATACGCTGGGTCACCTGTGACATAGTTAGGAACTTTGTGACGCTCATTACTTAACGTGTTGCAGGTCTGTGGTAAACTTCCAGTTCTCATCCTGTGATTTAAGGTTGAGTTAGCAAATACATTTGCATCATGGACACAACCTGACCATCAGAAATCCACGTCTATGAACATCCCACGATAATCATATACTGCTTGTACATTGAGTGAATAGTACTGCTTGTAACAAAAATAGTCGTGAGAGTCAGTGGATGGCGTTTTGATAGGAACATGGGTACCATCAACGCATCCAAATGCCTCTATCATACCAAACTTTAACTCAAACTGTCAAACTTTTCTCTGCATCTCCTCTACAGTTCGTGGCAAAAGAATGTACTCTGGTCCTAAATGCTTTGTAATTGCGTCGCAAACTTCCGAAACAACTTTTGAAACGGTACACGGGTGAGTTCCCAACGTATTCGCAGTCACCCACATAGATCCTGTGTCTTTCAGGTAGTACAGTGTTAATGCCACCTTCTTCTCAACTGAAAGTGCCCGGCCATTTGGAGATTTCGGGTCTGGAAACATATGGGGTCGCAGTTGTTCGCAAAGATGTTCGAATTCTGGTCTTGCCATTCGAAAATTTTTCTTCCAATCTTCTTCCGGTGATACGCCTGAGAACATGTTCCCCCACCATTGATCCGTTCTCCCGTCGTTGACCCATCTTGTCCGTTGTTTTCGTCGTAGCCACCGAAGTTTCAATTCTTTGCACTTCTTAACAATTAAATTTTTCTTCCGCGCAAAGTGAGTCACCAACAAATCAATATTCCTCTTTCTATATAGCAGAAACAGATATAACAGTCCATGTAACTACATAAATTCAGAAGATAAGACAGCCAACTGCTGGAAAAGGGAAAATTCAATCATTCGCCGCATTCTCGTAGTGTAAGTTTTGAAAAGTACAACTTCCTGCCCTAATACATCGAGAGGCTCGCGCCTTCTTCGTGCCAAAAACTCAAAACTCGCTCCGGTCTCCCGCGTTTCATCACCTTAGCCATCAACCAGGCTGGCTCGCCTCATGTAATGCCAGGCTGAATGTCATCTTGGCACTACAAAGCAGCCCGGCTAACCGGGCCACCCCGGCTGATGTAATCAGGCCATAAGAGAGAGAAGTCGGTTTTTATAATCTGTTTCCTTACCTGAATCTGCTTACCAGATTAAGACTTTAATTACACTTTTCTGATTTCGAATCATAAATGTATTTCATTTAGATCGAATAACTATTAAAGCTTGGATTTGCATTATACGGTTTGTGGTGGTCGTCGGAGCTCACCAGATCCGTGTAAGGAAACACAGATGGCTTTAATTTCAGTCGGGTGGAATGCCGGGAAACGTTCTGGTTCCTCCAACTATTTCAACTACGTTTAACTACGATTACATGAATGGCTATTTGCTCTATCCAAATGGGGCTATACAAGCCTGCGTTTCTACCAGTGGTTATGTTCAGGCCACTATTTGGACATCCCACGAGAGCCTATGGCACAGATATTTATAAAGACCTCGCGGGGACAATTCACGACCATATGCCTCACTACAAAGTGGATTTGGATGCTGATGGAAGAAAGAACTACTTTGAAAACGTCGACTTTAATATTGAGAATATTACATACCACTAGATACCAGGAGCAAGAAGGATCCAAAAAGTCCTGAATCTCACTTTAAAGAAAACCGAAAAAAAAGTTATTTATCAGCCCAGTTTTGACCATCCCAAGTAAATAAACTTCTTTAGTGACGGCAATGCTAAAAACATAGGCGCGAATCGAGGGTACCGTATCGACATTCGAGCCATGATGAAACAGTTGTACCCAAAGGACTGGGGATTGGTAAAAAGAGCCGCTTGGGGCTTGAACCAAATGACTGTCACTAAGCGAAAAGAAACCGAAAAACAAGCTCATCATTTTACAATCACTGCAGTAAGTATGATCCTGTTGTCGACTTTCAACGCTTCGTTGCCGACAACGAATCTATCGTAGACGAAGATCTAGTTGCCTGAGTGCATCGCGCAGAATGCCTTTTGTTCTTGAGACATTTACTTGCAGTAGCGAAAAAATTATAGATCTGTAATTTTGGCGGCGAAACGTATTTTAGAGGGTTATCATTGGTCAAAGATCACTCGCGCATTCTTCCTCGAGGAATATTGGTTTAGCTCGTTAACTTTTCAAGGCGGAGGTAAGAAACGATAGCTTATAAAATTATTGTTTAAGCTGTTGTTATAAAAAAAAGTCACACATTACGTCCGTATGTTACAGGCTAGAATAGTGCTCGATTTTGAAACTGTTCGTTACATATTCATCGCTTCCTCTATCTTACTCAACAAACACGTTCGTTCTATCATTTCCCGTGTACGATTCGATTTTCGTTGGGAAAAACCACTTGCAATATTTTTCGATAATGGAAAGGACGTAATGGGTCACTTCAAGTCACTCTGACACTTGCTTCTTCTAAACGAAATACAACCACATAGTGTGTTAAGAATGAACTTACGCAGCGCTTAGTATGA